AAACGGATACACTAACGAAGCGCCAGATGCCAGACTGGGAATGAAAACACTTGTTCAGCGGCTAAGAGTTTCTTCTTCAATAGGCTCATGGCGCACTGGACATAGCTGAGGACACACTCGAACTTGAGGAGGAAGCGATAGGAATGATTGACGTTCAAACAGAAGATAAAGAAGAGTTGTGTGCTGAGGGGGGGTGGGGACTGGGGGGACTGGCCTCACGCTCATGCCACTGTGTCCAGCAGGGGGAGACTGCAGGAAGCAGGAGTCTAGTGAGCTGGTGTTGACCTGGGGGAAGCTGGGAGATTGACAAATGCCTCAGGTAGTCACTGCTTTGCTCCACTGCTTCTATGTTAGCATGAAGTGCCTGTTCTCCTATGCCTCCATGTCCCCCTTTGTGATCTCCTAAACCCTATTAGTTGGGGGAGGAATTATGGGGTTCATCCTCCCATCATCCTCCTTGAGAGTCTGCTTGCCATTCAGCCTCAAAGAAAGGGACTTTGAAAGTCAGCTGGAGGGGCCGGCACTGTGGCATAGTGGGTAAAGCCACTGCCTACAGTGCCCGCACCTCATATGGGTGCCAGTTCAAGTCCTGGCTGCTCCACTTCCAATCCAGCTCTCTGCTATGGCCTGGGAAAGCAGTGGAAGATGGCCCAAGTGCTTGGACCCCTGCACCTGTGTGGAAGACCCAGAAGAAGCTCCTGGCTCCTGGCTTTGGATCAGCACAGCTCCAGCTGTTGCGGCCAATTGGGGAGTGAAACATCAAATGGAAGACCTCTCTCTCTCTCTCTCTCTGCCTCTCCTTCTCTCTGACTTCTAACTCTGGCTTTCAAATAAATAAACAAATCTTTTTTTAACAATTTAAAAATAAAGAAAGTCAGCTGGGGCAGCTGGAAAGAGCTGGGTCTCAGCTATCCGCCTTTCACTTTCCACGATCAACTTAGGCTTGATGGCACTAGAACACAACACAGAGGCACTGGTTCTTTAAGGATCGTTCATTTGCAAGGCTACAAGAGAGAGAGCTCCCATCCTCTGCCTTACCCCGCAAATGCCCACAATAGCTGGGACTGGGCCAGGCTATAGCTCAGAACTGAAAACCCAACCCAAGTCTCCCTCGTGGGTGGGCAGGGATCCAGTACTGACGGCAGCAGCCCGGCTTCCCCCGATCTACATTGGCAGGGAGCGGGAACTGGCAGCAGAAGCCAGGAACTGAACCCCCGTACCGTGGTGTGGGGTGTGAGCGTCTTGGCTGGCTTTTTATCCGCTGGCCTCTGGTGTTGGGGTGGAAAGTGACAGTTCACCTCGCTCTAGACTGGTAGCTAGAGCAAGCAGCACACGATCCGTACGCCGCCTCTCGCTGCTCATTCGAGCAGTAACAAGCATGCTCAAAGGAAAGAGGGTATCGGTTGTGGCACCTGTCCATGGGACGCCGGAGAGGTATCCAAAGGGCCCTGCTGTAGAGACCAGTCGTGCACTGCCTCAGGGCGTGTGTGCAGGAAATCTGCCTTTGGGCACACAGTGCTGGGTGGTCGCCACCGACCGTGTTACCCAGGTGGCCAGGCTGGAGGTGCATCATGAGAGGCAGAGGAGGGCACTCGGCAAGAAGCCAACTGGGTGCCCGTGGGAATACGTCCAGACATCGTGGGAAACAGAATTCAAAGATAAGCTTATTTTGGTGGGAAAAAATTGAAATCTATGCATAAACAGGGCCTTCAAAACATTCATGGAAAATACGTATCATGAAAAAAAAACTGCATGGATTTCAAAAATTTTTTGCACCAAAATTAATTCACCTCTTAATTCCATTTTTCCCATGAATTTGCTGAGGTTTCTCTTTTTTAAGGTTTATTTTTTATTTATTTATTATCTATTTGAAAGGCAGAATTACAGAGAGACGGGGAGAGAGAGAATGAGAGAGATCTTCCATCAGCTCATTCACTCCCCAAGTGGCCACAACAGCTGGAGTTGGGCTGATCCAAAGCCAGGAGGTAGGAGCTTCATCTGGGTCCCCTGCGTGGGTGGCAGGGGCCCAGGTGCTTGGGCCGTCTTCCACTGCTTTCCCAGATGCATTAGCAGGCAGCTGGATGGGAAGTGGAGCAGCTGGGACTGGAACTGGCGCCCATATCTGATTCCAGTGCCAAAATCGGCTTTACCTGCCACGCCAGAGTGCCAGCCCCTGTGGTTTCTTAAGGTTAACTTCTGGGTCTAGAATTTAAAGTCAGACACAGCTTGACATCTGTCACCATTTCCTTTGTGTGACCATTTCCCCCGCCAAACCAAGCTCTTCAGGGTAAGGGTGACTGGGGCCACTTCGAGCCCCAGGGGTGGTGCCAGCGACGGTAACTGTAGCTGAGACAAATGCTTTCTGTGGTCCTGTTCCCCAGGCGGTCCCTGCACACCTGCGCCAAAGGGCATCGGGAAACCACACCAGCTGCCTCCACAGCCTCCCATCACCCCCTGCCTGCCCTCACCAGCACACACCCTGGCCAGGCTGGCTGTTCCAGTGGGCAAGGAGTGGCCAGTGGCAATTGTGGGCTCTGGGCCTGATCTAAACAGGGCACAAGGTTCACGTGGCACCTGCTCTCTCTTCTCTGACACCCAAGGCTCTACCTGCTGTATATGGGGTCTTCAAGAAGTTCGTGGAACGTAAACATTATGGAAATGTTATGCATGGACTTCAAATTGTTTTCTTTTGCACCAAAACAAGCTTAGCTTTTCATTGCATTTCCCAGAAACATTTTTTAAAAATGTGTATTTACTTTGTTTGAAAGGCAGAGTTACAAGAGGAAAAAAGAGAAAGAGAGAGAGAGAGAGGTCTTCCGTCCACTGGTTCACTTCCCAAATGGCTGCAGTGGCCAGGGCTAGGTCAAGCCAAAGACAGATGTTTCTTCCAGGTCTCCCGTGTGGATGACAGGGGCCCAAGCACCGGGCATCTTCCACTGCCTTGTCGGGTGCACCAGCAGGGCGTGGAGCATCCTACCCCACATGGGATGTGGGGTCACCCGCTACGCCAGCGCCTGCCCCTCCAGGGACGTTTTAAAGTCCCCTTATTGTTGCCCTGTCCGCACACCTTCCACCCTCTCCCCCTTGTTCCAGGTGGCTTTCCTCCAGCTGGCCACAGCAAAGCCGTTAGCCAATCAGGGCGCAGCCCCCGGGCGCATTGGTGGTTCAACAGGAGTCTCCTGAGAAGAGTGTCAGACACAAGGGGACGGAAATTTCTGGAACCCGAGGGGTGTGGTCTGCAGAGATATCAAGGGATGGGAGACCCAGGAACCCCCTCATCCTTTTCCCCACCTTGGCAGCCAAGCCCTTCATCTTGGTGGTAGGGGAGTCGTCTTTGTTAGCCAGGAACGTGCTAGAACACTGATGATCAAAATGAGAGAGGGGAGGGACATGGAGGAGAGGGAAGACTTGTGGGGGGGTGGTGACACAGGGAAGGCAGAGGCCCAGCCTCCGCCGGAGCTGAGATCCGTTCCCTGGTGGGAATGACTTTTCACTCCCGCGTGTCCTGGGAATCACTGGTGGCTTGAAGCCGCCCCGATGGCAGTTTTCCGGAAGCTTTCAAAACCTCTCATTGCCGGTGTGAGAGGGTTGAGTCCCAGCTGGGCTGCTGTGGGCATGGCCGGAGCTGGAGGTGGCTGTGGGGGTTGGGGTGAGGGGGTCTGCCGCTGTGGGCCTGGAGAATGTGCTTGGTTTTCGTGTGGTTTTTTCCTGCAGCTCAGCTGTTGGTCTTGTGTGGGCACAGCTGAGACGGCAGGATGCAAAGGAGCTCTTGGACACTGGGCTCTGTGTTGAGGAAGTCTGATGTGGGGGCGACAGGCGGCAGCTGGCGTGTGACCTCACCTTACTACGCGCAAGCGGCTCCTGCTCCACTGGTGACTGCTCGCTGTTAATTCTCCTTTGTTTTTCCGACACTGCTGTGAAAGGTCACCGGAGAGTTGAAGCTAAACCATTTGAACCTCTATCTTCTTATTTACCTAAGAGAGATCTTTTGTCTGCTGGTTCACTCCCCCACATGCCCACGATGGTCAGACTGAGCCGGCTGAACCAGGAACACACACGCCAGGTCCCTGACGTGGGTGGCAGGGATCCAGTCCCTTGAACCACCACCCCACTGCCTTCTGGAGTCTACACCGGCAGGAAGCTGGAGTCAGCAGCCCAAGCCAGGAATCGAACCCATGCACTCTCAAGTGGGATGGCGGGGTCTCCACGGCTAGGCTAAACACCTTCTTCTTTTCTTTCTTTCTTTCTTTCTTTCTTTCTTTCTTTCTTTCTTTCTTTCTTTCTTTCTTTCTTTCTTTCTTTCTTTCTTTGACAGAAAGAGTGGACAGTGAGAGAGAGACAGAGAGAAAGGTCTTCCTTTTGCTGTTGGTTCACCCTCCAATGGCCACTGCGACCAGCGTGCTGCGGCCGGCACACCGCGCTGATCCGATGGCAGGAGCCAGGTGCTTCTCCTGGTCTCCCATGGGGTGCAGGGCCCAAGTACCTGGGCCATCCTCCACTGCACTCCCTGGCCACAGCAGAGAGCTGGCCTGGAAGAGGGGCAACCGGGACAGAATCCAGTGCCCCGACCGGGGCTAGAACCCGGTGTGCCGGTGCTGCAAGGCGGAGGATTAGCCTAGTGAGCTTTGGCGCTGGCCACGCCTTCTTCTAACTCTACCATTTTGGTGAAGTGGAATGCCTAACGTTGCCAAGGTCGGAACATCCAGGTTGCTCGTTGGTGTGGGGGCGCCTCCACACACTTCGTTGTTCTCGGGAGCTGGGGGATCTTCTGTCACCCTACTGGGCTGGCTCCTGCCGCTCCCACACGAGAGGTGCAGAGGGGACTGGGGTGGCTCAGCTTCGTGCCCAGTCTTACCACCCAGAGTCCCCTGCACGTTCTTCCCCACCACTCCTTCACACGCCCCAGGGCTGGGAAGGGCCACGCACCCGCCACGCCACGTGGACCCGCCGAGCACCCAGCCGGCTAACAACGACCCTTCCTGTGTCTCCACTCTCTCCAGAACGGGCTCAACGGCTTGCATCTGGCTTCCAAAGAAGGCCACGTGAAAATGGTGGTCGAACTGCTGCACAAAGAGATCATTCTAGAAACGACGACCAAGGTAGGTGGGAGATCGACACGGTCGGCCCCCAGCTCGTCCCCAGCCCGGGCTCCGAAACTTCCAGGAGAGAAACCCAAGCTCAGCCTTCCCGTCGCCCCCTGACGCCTCCTGGAAAAACCCAGGCCTGATTTCCAGAAAGTTCCAGGGTCTCTAGAAAGTCCCGGGGGCCTCTGCTTTAGTCTCATCACGGGGTGTCATCTAAAACGGGGACCTCATCCCGGTGGCCTCCTGCGTTCCAGGGCAGCGGCCTCTGCCTGGGTTCCAGGCCCAGCCGGCCTGTGGCCAGGGTCAGGTTTGCCAGCTGTAGGATGGGTGCAGTTGTAGGACAGGTTGGGCGTCAAGTCAGAGGGCAGGCAGGGAGGGATCGGTGGGGTGGGAGACAGAGCCCAGGCTGCTCTGACCCCTCCTACGTGCTCAGCCCTTGGTGCAGGTGGGTGGTACTTGGTGCAGGTGGGTGCCACAGGCATCTCACAACCCTGTGCTTTTCTCTGTGCCAGTGACTCAAGTTCACGAACACTGCAGTCAGGACACGGATCTGTCTGTGGACTGCGAAATACGTTTTAGTTCTTGCTTGCAAGAAATAAATCTTGTCTTATTTGTTAAACAGGATGCAGCCAGCATTTAGGAATAAAAGTAAACCAAAACGTCATCCCCTGTACTCGTTCAAGTACTAGCCAATTCTTTTTTTAAAAAAAATTTTAGAGATGTATTTATTTATTCAAAAAGTCAGAGCGACAGAGAGAGAGAACAAGAGACGCAGAGAGATCCTCTCTCCACTAGTTCTTGCCCCAAATGCTGAAATGGTCAGGGCCGGCCAGGCTGAAGCCAGGAGCTCAGGACTCCATGCAGGTCTCCCACGTGGGTAGCAGGGACCCAAGCACCTGGGGCATCTTGCGTTGCTTTCCCAGGTGCACCAGCAGGGAACTGGATGGGAAGTGGAGCAGCCAGCACTTGACCCGGTGCTCCTAGGGGGCCGGCGTGCACAGCCTTCTGGTGGCCCCGCGTGCAGGCGCAGGCTGGGTGGGCAAGCCCCTCCCCCCTTCCTTGGGCACGTGTCTTTCAGAAAGGGAACACGGCCCTGCACATCGCTGCCCTGGCGGGTCAGGACGAGGTGGTCCGCGAACTGGTCAACTATGGCGCCAACGTCAACGCCCAGTCACAGGTAACGAGCGGCTCCGGGTGTCCCGGCTGCCACGGCGGCTGCGTGGCCGGCCAATTCCCTGCGGACTCCCGTGCCCCTGCTGCGGCTCCGTCTGCATCTGACGGCACGCTCGGTTCGCAGAAAGGCTTCACACCCCTCTACATGGCCGCTCAGGAGAACCATCTGGAAGTGGTGAAGTTTTTGTTGGAAAATGGAGCCAACCAGAATGTGGCCACAGAAGTAAGTGCCCCCACCCCAGGGAAAATGTGCTCACCGCTGGACACCTCCCTAGCCAGGCGCCCCTCCACCCCCCCACCCCCGGGATGTGGCAGCAGTGAGCGCTCTGGGCCCTGTCTCATCCCCTGTGAGCTTGAGTTTGGCGTCGGTGAAGTGGTCAAGCTGCCTGGCCTGTGTTCAGGCTTCTCTGGACTATAAACTCAGTGACTCCATGACTTTGTCAGGGTCCTGGGTGGAGGGAGGGAGGGGCGGCTCAGCCAGTGGCTCACGGTCAGGCCTCAGGGTCTGGCATGGTTTCTAGAATGTTCTGGCACAGGTAGCTGGGGTGGGAGGGAGCACAGGAAGGCTGGCAAAAGGCTGTGTCCAACAGGGGGCTAAGTAAGTGCTGAGGCCAAGCCACAGTGAGATCTGAGATTACAGAAGTGGCAGCAAGGGAGGCTTCAGGGAGGAGGTGGCGTTTCACCAAGAGGGGACCAGCAGGAAGGCCATGGTGAGTGCAGGGGGTGGGAGAGAGGCAGAGCACACCCCGTGTCCCTCTGTCCCCTCCCTGGCCAGGACGGCTTCACCCCCCTGGCCGTGGCGCTGCAGCAGGGCCACGAGAATGTGGTGGCCCACCTCATCAACTACGGCACCAAGGGCAAGGTGCGCCTGCCCGCCCTGCACATCGCCGCTCGCAACGACGACACCCGCACGGCCGCCGTGCTCCTGCAGAACGACCCCAACCCCGACGTGCTCTCCAAGGTGAGGGCGCCCGGGCGGGGAGGCTGCCCACCGTGCCCCTGGGGTCCCAAGCGCGAGCCGCCCAGCATGCGCCTGCTGGGCCCGTTGAGGTCCCAGCCTGTGACCGGGGCTGCTCCAGGCCAGGAGGCCCTCTGGGCAGGTGGCAGGGGCACCTGGGGTCTTCCGGATTCTTCGTCTGCCCCTTTCCCGCTCCTTCTGGGGGAGGGAGGCAGCATCCCCTCTGGCAGAGGGCCTGGCCGAGGAGGAGGAGAAGGGGTGTGGAGCGAGGCAGTGGTCACCTGCACACACGGCCCCCAGCGGCTGGCTGAGCGGCAGCCCCCACCCTGCCCAGCCCCTGGAGCTGCCTTGGGGGCAGTGGGAGGTGCTGGAACAGAGTGATGACCAGGGACCCAGCAGGTGGGGAGTCAGCCCTGGGCAGCCGGCAGAGCCAGCAGATGCTTCAGGAGCAGAAGCGCCCTGCGGTGAAGATCGTGGCCCCTTTGTCATGCATTCACTCACACCTCTCCCTGAGTGACCTCCAGTCTGGGGCCTGCCTGCCCTGGAGCTGCCATTTGCCTGGATGCTGCCGATGTCACCACCTGTGCGCAGGGTCCTTGCCCCGCCCCCTCCCCAGCCCGTCCAGACTCCCCGGGCAGACTCTGAGATGCTGTCACTCACGTCTGCCCTTGCCCCCACCCCCACCTCTGCTGTGTTCCAGACGGGCTTCACCCCCCTCCACATCGCAGCCCACTACGAGAACCTCAACGTGGCCCAGTTACTCCTCAGCAGGGGGGCCAGCGTCAACTTCACTCCCCAGGTAACTCTGGGCCCAGGGTCTCCACGTGCTGTCCGGAGGGCCTTGGGGGAGGCGCCCCTGCCTCTGGGCTCTGCACAGCGGGTGTCCCCTGACTGCAGCCCCCGTGTCCGGCAAGTGCCTGACCACCCGCGCCTCGTGTGCGCCTGCGACGTTGGCCCTGGAGACTTGGCCAGGGTGGCGGGGTTAGCAGGCTCACACTTGGAGGGGTTTGAGGTCTTTCTCGTGGGAGAAAGGCCTAAGGCAGGGAGGGAGGCTGCACTGTGGGCAGGGCCGGCGGACCAGGGCAGGCCGGGAGCAGCCGCAGGAAGCCGCGCCCAACCGCTCCCTCTTCCTCCCGCCCCGCAGAACGGCATCACGCCACTGCACATCGCCTCCCGCAGGGGGAACGTTATCATGGTGCGGCTCCTGCTGGACCGCGGAGCCCAGATAGAAACCAGGACCAAGGTGGGTGCCCACAAGCTCCGCGGCCCGCCCAGGCCAGCGGGGGGAGCTGCGCCAGGACTGTGCCGAAGCCTGGGTGGTCCCGCGGCACCGCCGCCACTGCCGCTGTGGGGCGGCCTCCTCTCCGGACAGCCTCTGACAGCTGCCTTTGGGGCCTTGTGTTTCTGACTCTGTCTTTTAAAGGATGAATTGACACCTCTCCACTGTGCAGCTCGCAACGGGCACGTGCGCATCTCAGAGATCCTGCTGGACCACGGGGCGCCCATCCAAGCCAAAACCAAGGTGCGTGCCTCCTTCCCGCGGCGGGGAGCATATGCTGTGGATCTGGGTCAGGCCGCCTGGGAGCAGATCCGGGCTCTGGGAGCCGGAGGTGCTGACGCTGCTAAGTGAGCTCATGCGATGCTGGCCCAGGACAGGCGCTCACTGCAGCCCGGGTCAGGGTCAGCGGCTGTTTCTCATCCAGAGGACCGGGTCCGAAACGTCCCTGGGCCTCGTGGGCCTTGCTGTCTGCTGCGGTAGCAGAAGCGTAGGCAGAGGCGGTTCCGCCAACTCACGGCCCAGTGCCATTTGTCGCCTGCCCAGGCGGTGGTGACGGTGGTCAGCCTGCTGCTGCCCTAGCCAGTCCCCGGCTCTCATCCTCTCTCCAGAAGACAGAAAGGAAGCGCTCTGTGGAGGCCTCGGGGCCTGCGCCCAACTGCAGCGAAGTTTCTTGTGCTTTTAAATATTTATTTGAAAGAGAGAGACACACACACAGATCTTCCATCTGCTGGTTCACTCCCCAAATAGCCACAGCAGCCAGCACTGGGCCAAGCCAAAGCCAGGAGCCTGGAGCTCCATCCAGGTCTCCCACGTGGGTGCAGGGGCTCATGCACTTGGGCCGTCTTCTGATGCCTTCTCAGGCGCATTAGCAGGGGGCTGGATCGGAAGTGGAACAGGCAGGACTCGAACCAGCAGCCCTAGGGGATGGCGGCCTCACAGGTGGCAGCTCACCCTGCAGCGCCACAGCGCCGGCCCTGTGGGGTGACTTCAGACGGAGTGGCACCGGGGAGCCAGGCGGAAGCCAGGCCTGTTCACAGAGCCACAGCTGGGTTTCTGTGAGTGGTGGGTGGCGTCCTGTTGAGCTGCTTTCAGTCTGGGGTGTGTGGCTGGACAGAAGCTGCTCTCGCCGTAACAGTTCACCTCCCACGTCTGCCTCCAGCTGTGCGACTTCAGCTGTGTCTCTCGTGCCACTCGGTGCTTTCCTTATTTGGGGAGCCCCGCCCCTCTGTGCCAGGGTCGTTGGGTGACCACTTGAGATGTGTCTTCCAAAGGACCCATAAAAGCAAAAGCCTGAGACAAGAGAGAGGAGAGGGGGCTTCAGTTCGTGGAGAAAAAAGGAGAAGTTTGTGTTGGTGACAAACCATTGGACACCCCTGCCTGGTTTTTTTTTTTTTTTTTTTAATCCCCACAGTGCACAGTTTCTGTGATCTCTTTGGAGACCTCTCATCCATGGATGTCAAAACATCGTGCCCCAAAATAGCTTTAACTTTTTTTTTTAATTTATTTTATTTGAGTGGTAGAGTGACAGAGAGAGAGAGAGGTCTTCCATCCACTGTTTACTCCCCAGATGGCTGCAACAGCCAGAGCTGCGCCAATCTGAAGCCAGGAGCCAGGAGCTTCTTCTGGGTCCCCAACGCGGGTTCAGGAGCCCAAGGACTTGGCCCATTTCCACTGCTTTCTCAGGCCTTCAGCAGGGAGCTGGATCAGAAGTGGAGCAGCCAGGACTTGAACTGACGCCCATATGGGATGGCGGTGCTGCAGGCTGGGGCTTAAATTCTGTACCACAGCACCTGCCCTAGCAGAATATATTTTAACTGCAGTGCATTGGGTAGGGGCAATGAGCAGAGGTACTGAGACCCAAGTCCTGCCTTGCCTTCCCTGGTGCTGCCCGGACTCGGCCCACGTGAGACTGTTACTGTGTGAGATGCGTCCTTGCACCGGGCTGCGTGGGGCATTTCAGAAACAGGAGGCAGTCACTGATCGCAAGGAGGTTATAAGCAAGGGGAGAAGTTAGCTCTCAATGTGACTCTGCAAAGACCAGAGTGAGGCCAGCTGGCCAGGGAAGGCTTCATGCGAGTCGTAGGCATGGCGGGAAAGGGCTTGAGATTTTGGCCACGTGGAAAGGGTGGAGCCTGTGGTCAGAGCCCCGGAGCAGCCTGGTCCCTCAAGCACTTGATGCACGTGTCACGGGCAGGGACCGTGGAATGGTCGCCCTGAGTGTCCCGTTCTCTCCCACCTTCTCCCAGAACGGCTTGTCCCCGATTCACATGGCGGCTCAGGGAGACCACCTCGACTGTGTCCGACTCTTATTGCAATACAACGCAGAGATCGATGACATCACCCTGGACCACCTGACCCCGCTGCACGTGGCAGCCCACTGCGGCCACCACCGCGTGGCCAAGGTCCTTTTGGATAAAGGTGCCAAACCCAACTCCAGAGCCCTGGTGAGTGGGAGGCCAGTGGAGAAGGTGCCGGAAAGGGTGGCAGGTGGGGGTGCCGGGCAGGACAGGAGCCGCGTGGCTGAGCTTGCTGGGAAGGGCAGCAGCGGGTGCCTGGAGCCACTGCTGAGATCCGGCGCCCTGGGCACATCAGGGCTCAGTGCACAGGCAGGATGGGCGCCCGCCCACGCCAGCCACCTCCAGCTGGTGTCACCTCCCGCACCTGCCAACAGGCTGAGGGCAGGGGTGGGTTTGGGCCCGGGTTCATGGGTTGGGGGTGCCACTGCAGCCCGGGGGTGTTAGAGGTGCTGGCTTGCTGGCTCGCTGTGGGGACGCTGCACGGCGCACCCTCAGGGGCTCGTGTAGTGGTGAGTTCAGGCTTGGAGCAGGTTCTTGCTGTGTGGCCCTGGTTCCTGTCCGTCCAGTCGGGGGTCACAGGGTGCTGCATCTCTACCTGGAGTGCAGAAGGGGGCAGGTGTCCTCCAGGGGTGGCACAGGACGGCTCGTTCATTCACCCACAGGAGCCTTCCAGGCCTGGGCCATCTGTGGGCCCTGTCGTCCTGTGCGTGGGAGCAGGCATAGCTCATCCTGGGCCTCTCGCCACTGGGCCTTCATAGCTCCTCCCCCTGCTGTGACGCTAAGCATGGAGATGTTGCCTCTTGATAGCCACAGCCCCGGGGCACAGAGCACGCAAAGAGCAGACAGCCGTAGGCACAAAACCCAGGCCCTCATGGTGTCCGAGGTCCACCCCGTCACACTTGGGAGCCCAGCTCCACTTCCTTTCAAAGGAGCCCTGGCTGCAGGGAGCAGAGACCGTGACTCACCAGACTACATTACCCTTAAGGGAGCCTTAAGCAGCAGGCTCTTTCAATGCATCCGAAAGTATGACGACATGCTTAGCAAGAGGTTTGCAAACACGTTCCGGAACACCCTTGTCGCCCGCCGCCTTTCTCTCATGCGGTTTGCATGACAGCGGCCGACACGGTGCTCATCCGTGGATGCAAACTCAGAGCCTCTTGTTGGTCTCTGGGGGTCTGCCGTGGGCCGGAAGGGGGAGGTGGCGCTCCCGGTGTCTGCGGCTGGCGTGCAAGCCAAGTGCGTGTCTGTCTCCCGCAGAATGGCTTTACCCCCTTACACATCGCCTGCAAGAAGAGCCACATCCGTGTCATGGAGCTGCTGCTGAAGACGGGCGCCTCCATCGACGCCGTCACCGAGGTGCGCAGGCTCTGCCGGGCCCCACCAGCACCCTCCCCTGGGCGCCGTTCTTGGTGACTCCAGGCGGCCGCGTGCGCACGTGAGAGCTCACACAATCTGCACTGTTGGAGGGAATGAGCCCTGGCTCATGGTGGGGACAAGGGACCCCCACGCCAGGCCTCGGAGCTTTCCAAGATCAGCGGTACTTGTGAAAGGGGGCGGAGTTGCCCAGGGTGACGGCTCCCCCACCCCCCACCCCCCACCCCAGCCATTTTTCCTGGCGGCAAAGGCACCTCGTTTAACTCCCTTTCCGTGGAGACCTTAAAGGCAGGACAGCAGCGCCCCTGCCATCAGGCACTCTGGTTTTGGGGGGCAGCAGGACAACCCCGCATTCTCACCCACCCTTGTGTGTTCCAGTCCGGCCTCACGCCTCTCCATGTGGCCTCCTTCATGGGCCACCTGCCCATCGTGAAGACTCTCCTGCAGCGGGGGGCGTCGCCCAACGTCTCCAACGTGGTGAGAGTGCGGGGAGGGGGCAGTGCCAGGGCCCCTCCCTCTGCAGCCAGGGCGCGGGGCGGGGCGGTGGGTGCCAGGCCGAGCTGCCCGTTTCTCCTCTGGGGACGCATGCAGACAGGACCCCCAGTTCCATTTGTCGCACGTCTGTACACCAGTGCACTTCGATTGTGGACGATGTCTTGGAACTTTTCTAAGTGTGAACTGGGAAAGCGCTTAAGCATTCTCCACTGCTCGTTAGCTCTGGGGTTTGCTTGTAAGTGTAGCCCTGGTGTGCACAGGCACGCACACGCGTGCACTCACAGACCCACGAGCTGCATGCTGTAGCAGTCCTGCCTCTTGGGCAGGAACCCACCCGGCCGGCTGCTCCCAGCGGGCGCTTTGGTGCTGTCCGTGTCCTTTTGGGCCCCGCGTGCCTTAACAGTTTCTGTCATTTTCTCACCGTACAGAAAGTGGAGACCCCACTACACATGGCAGCCAGAGCAGGACACACAGAAGTAGCCAAATATTTGCTCCAGAACAAAGCCAAAGTCAACGCCAAGGCCAAGGTGGGCTGTGGGGGCAGGGAGGGCAGGGCGGTGGGGTGCGAGCGGGCTGGACACTGGGAGGAGAATCCACCCGGGTCACGGGCCGGAGTGGACAGGCCCCGAGATCACTGCCCCTTGAGTAGTTTTTGTGCTGGACGCTCAGACCCTGCCCTGTGGGGGTGTGAGGAGGCCAAAAGGTTTTTTAATATTTATTTATTTATCTATTTGAAAGGCAGAGTTACAGAGAGAGGGAAAGAGAGATCTTCCATCCACTGGTTCACTCCCCGGATAGCCGCAATTGCTGGGGCTGGGCCAGGCCAAAGCCAGGAGCCTGGAGCTCCATCTGGGTCTCCCACTTCAGTGCAAGGACCCAAGCACTTAGGCCATCTTCTGCTGCTTTCCCAGGAGCATTAGCAGGGAGCTGGATGGGAAGTGGAGCAGCCAGGACTTGAACCAGTGCTGGTGTGGATGCCGACATCGCAGGCAGCTGCTTAAGCCACAATGCCAATGCTTTGTGTCTTTGCTACAAAGTAGCAAAAGTAGCAAAGTAGTTCTCTCTGTTTTTAAACGGCTATTTAGTTTTCACTTTATGTGAAAGGCAGAGAAAAAGAGAGAGACAGACAGAGATCTTACAACTGCTGGTTGATATCCCAAATGCCACTAAAGCCAGGAAGCAGGAACTCAATCCAGGCTTCCCACGTGGGTAGCAGGAATCCAGGTTTCTGAGCCATCACCCGTCTCTGGCAGCCTCCTAAGCTGGGCTGTCAAGAGCAGAGCCAGGGCACTCCAGTGTGGGATGCAGGTGTCCCCAGAGGCACCTTTTTTTATTTTTATTTATTTGAAAGTTCAAGTTACACACACACACACACACACAGAGAGAGAGAGAGAGAGAGAGAGAGAGAGAGGGAGGGAGGGAGAGAGGTCTTCCATCCACTGGTTCACTCCCCACATGGCCACAGCAGCCAGAGCTGGACCAAGCTGAAGCCAGGAGCCAGGAGTTCTATCCGGGTCTCCCAGGTACTTGGACCATCCTCCAGTGCCTTCTCAGGCCCATCAGCACGTTAGTTTCTGTGACCCAGAGGCTCGACTGCAGTCCCGGCCTGTGTTAGCCGTGTGACCTTGAGGAGGTCACCCAACCTCTCTGGCCCCAACGTGCCTTCTCTGTGAAGCAAAGAGCTGGATTTGGTGAAGCTCACACCTCCTGTTCTTGGGGTGGGCTTTTGGTGTAGCGGCAGCCCACGTCCCCGGGCCTCCCATGTCTCGTATCAAGTGCTCAGGACTCCCACGTCCCGTATCAAGTGCCCAGGACTCCCACATCCCGTATCAAGTGCCCGGGACTCCCACGTCCCGTATCAAAGTGCCCGGAACTCCCACGTCCCGTATCAAGTGCCCTGGACTCCCACATCCCGTATCAAGTGCCCGGGCCTCCCACGTCCCGTATCAAGTGCCCAGGACTCCCACGTCCCGTATCAAGTGCCCAGGACTCCCACGTCCCGTATCAAGTGCCCGGGACTCCCACATCCCGTATCAAAGTGCCCAGGACTCCCACGTCCCGTATCAAGTGCCCGGGACTCCCACGTCCCATATCAAGTGCCCTGGACTCCCACGTCCCGTATCAAGTGCCCAGGACTCCCACGTCCCGTATCAAGTGCCCAGGACTCCCACGTCCCGTATCAAGTGCCCAGGACTCCCACATCCCGTATCAAGTGCCCGGGACTCCCACGTCCCGTATCAAAGTGCCCGGAACTCCCACGTCCCGTATCAAGTGCCCTGGACTCCCACATCCCGTATCAAGTGCCCTGGACTCCCACATCCCGTATCAAGTGCCCGGGCCTCCCACGTCCCGTATCAAGTGCCCAGGACTCCCACGTCCCTTATCAAGTGCCCAGGACTCCCACGTCCCGTATCAAGTGCCCGGGACTCCCACATCCCGTATCAAAGTGCCCAGGACTCCCACGTCCCGTATCAAGTGCCCTGGACTCCCACGTCCCGTATCAAAGTGCCCGGGCCTCCCACGTCCCGTATCAAGTGCCCAGGACTCCCACGTCCCGTATCAAGTGCCCGGGACTCCCACGTCCCGTATAAAGTGCCCGGGACTCCCACGTCCCGTATCAAGTGCCCAGGACTCCCACGTCCCATATCAAGTACCCAGGTTTGAGTCCCAGCTCTGGTTTCTGATTCCAGCTTCCCGCGGCAGCTTGCCCTGGGAGGCAGCAGGTGTTGCCGCGAGTCGGCACGTGGGAGACCTAGGTTGCATTCCTGGCGCCAGCTTTGATCGGGACTCTGTGTGTCTGTGAAATAAGGAACATCCTTGGTGAAAGCCACTGCTGTCCCCTGTCTCTCAGGATGACCAGACCCCACTCCACTGTGCAGCTCGCATCGGCCACACAAACATGGTGAAGCTCCTGCTGGAACACAACGCCAGCCCCAACCTGGCCACCACTGCCGGCCACACCCCTTTGCACATTGCGGCCCGGGAGGGCCACGTGGAGACAGCCGTGGCCCTGCTGGAGAAGGAGGCCTCCCAGGCCTGCATGACCAAGGTGCGGTCACAGCCGGGGGGTCCCTGTCCGCCCCCTTTGTGGTCTTGCTGCTTGGGGAGGGGACCCCCCTCACCCAGAGAGGAGCTGCCGGGCCTTTGCTTTGTCGGGACTCCGGGTACCCCCTCTGCCATGGGCCCTTCCCCGGAGGGTGGGGGGCGCACGGCTCTGGCTCCCGCAGGTCCTGATGGCACTGTGTGTCCTCAGAAAGGATTTACCCCCCTGCACGTCGCGGCCAAGTACGGGAAGGTTCGGGTGGCGGAGCTGCTGTTGGAGCGGGACGCCCATCCCAACGCGGCCGGAAAAGTGAGTGCGGCCCTGCCCGCATGCATGCACGCTTAGGTCCACACAGAGAGACGGGCAGCGGGCCCACCGCCAGCCCTGCTGCTTGCCTGCTCGGTTCTGGCTGGGACCGTGGCTTTGGAAAGCCCCGCGGTCCATGCGGACCCCTACAGGAGCACGGGGCGGGGGTGGGGGCGGCCCCGGGTGCCCCTGGTCCTGTCAATCAGGGGCTCCAGGCCAGGACCGGCTTTGGATGGGTCTGTAGCCAGATCTTGGCCGCAGAACCCAAGTGCTGTCAATGCCAAGACGAAGGCCCCTGGGCCTAACGGGAGAGAGAGCGCACCGGAGTGAGAGCTGCCCTCCTGTGTCTGCCCTGTCCCTGCAGAACGGCCTGACTCCCCTGCACGTGGCTGTCCATCACAACAACCTGGACATCGTCAAGCTGCTGCTGCCCCGGGGCGGCTCCCCGCACAGCCCCGCCTGGGTAAGGCCAGGCCCCGCCCCCGGGGGATGGGGGCGCACGGCGGCAGAGGGCGGGGGGCTTGTAGCAGTGGGTTTTCTCGCAGCGTGGGGTCCCCACGTGTTCCCCAGACAGCCGCTCATCCCTGAGTTGTATATGCTGGCTGTGGAGGGTCAGGGTGGACCAGGCCTCCAGGGAATGGTGACCCCCGGGCCTCAGGGACGCGGCTCACTGGCAGGTGCCACAGGGCCCATGTGATGCCAGGGAAGGTGTTCAGGCCAGGGCCTGGAGGAAGGACCCCCGGGGGTGTCAGCGGCCGCCCTCGCATGCACTTCCCGCCTGCGTTCTGACTTTCCAACAGCAGCTTTTTGTACAGAGAGGCCCCGCCGCAAATGGTTCACGGAAAATGCAATGAAAAGCTAACCTTGTTTTGGTGAAAGAGCTGTCCCTGTACTTGTGCCAACCCCTTGAATGCATGGAGTTCACGATTTTTTGGCAGCCAAGTACGAACCTTTTGCAGTCCGCTCGTGTGTTACACAGTAGACACCCATGCAGGGCGCCGGCCCCCCAGCCCAGAGAACCTTGGCCTCCAAGAGGAGCCAAGTGAAGGTAGTGGCAGCAGGTGTCAGGAAGACCAAGGCCAGGGGGAGGTGTCAGGATGGAACCAGCCCCTGCAGGGCCATTTTGGGAAGAGGCTGCCCCCTACAGGTAGGAGACGGTACTGCAGCCCTGCTGACGCAGCTAGCCTGGACTTAGCCATGCATTGGGAGGAGAGAGCTGCAGCCATGGGTGGGTGACCCCAGGGCACGGCCCTGCAGGGACAGTCAGCATGCAACCCCTCAGCCTCACCGTATCCATGTGCTGCACACGCAGCACCTCCCAGATGCCCTGGGCTCCCAAGTTTGGGTGCCTGCAGCTGCTGTCCCCGGAAAAGCGGCCCAGGGACCCCCCTTCCTCTGACATATGTAAAAAGAAACTGGAGTCAGGTCCGGATGTTTCAGGGGAGCGAAATCCAAGCGCAGACACCCTCACCCCCAACCCATGCAGATGAGTCTTGCTTCCGGGCTAGACTGGCAATTCTGTAGCATTTCACCTGCAGATCCGCCTGCCCCCAAACCAGCCCTTCTCTGTTCCAGGTGGATGTCAGTGTGGCTTCTCCGTGAGGAGGGGGAGCTTCTGGGGTGGCCTGTGCGTTCTGCAGGCGAGCTCGCCCCAGAGCTCACTGCTCACACGTAGCCGTCCCTGGCTGCACTGCCCAGCCCAGTGCCCTTGGCTTGTGTGCTCTTTAGCGGGGCTTGTGTGCTCTTTAGTGGGGCTTGTGCTGCTGTCCATCCTGTTTCTGCCTTACCCGGGGCTCCATGGCAGCCTGTGCCCCTCCGGGCCAGCATACCCTTGGCCAGGGTCGGCTGCTCTCCCTGCCAGTGTAGCCGCCCACAGCCACCCTCGTGGCGAGGCGAGCAACTCAGGCTGACACAATGTGAATGGATTTCGGGTTGCTCAAGTGACTGTCTTCGGCCATGTGATCACTGGCACCTCCTGACAGCAGCGACCCGGGCAGGAGTGCTACACCCACAGCTTGGTTGTAGGTTCGCCACTCCAGCCAGCCCCACGCTGTGGGCCCGACCCAGTGAACCACACCTTCCGTGCTCTGCTCCCTCTCCCCACGGCGTGGAAACCATCGTGTCTAGTTACTGTGTTATCATCAGAATGCTACTCTTTTTAAAAAAAATATTTTATTTATGTATTTGACAGGCAGAGTTACAGACAGTGAGAGGGAGAGACAGAGAGAAAGGTCTTCCTTCCATTGGTTCACCCCCCAAATGGCCACAATGGCCAGACTGCACCGATCCAAAGCCAGGAGCCAGGTACTTCCTCCTGGTCTCCCATACGGGTGCAGGGGTCCAAGCACCTGGGCCATCCTCCACTGCCCTCCCAAGCCACAGCAGAGAGCTGGATTGGAAGAGGAGCAACCAGGACTAGAACCTGGCGCCCATATGGGATGCCGGTGCCGCAGGTGGAGGATTAACCTAGTGTGCCACAGCACCGGCTACTTTTGCTTTAGATTACAACCCACAAAGAACCCTCAAGGGACATGAAGAACAGTGTAGTATTTTTCTCATAACCTCATCCAGTGAGGACGAATGCTGGCATAATGCCTCTTATGTAATTGTTCATAGAAAATGCCTTTTGGAAAGACATATGTATTTATTTGGAGAGAGAGAGAGAGAGAGAGAGAGATCTTCCATCTTCTGGTTCACTCTTCAGATGGCCGCAATGGCTAGGGCTGATAGGGCTGAAGCCAGGATCCAGGGACTCCATCCAGGTCTCCCACGTGGGTGCAGGGCTCCAAGCACTTGGGCCATCTTCTGCTGCTTTCCCAGGTGCATTAGCAGGAAGCTGGGTCAGAAGTGGAGCAGCTGAGACTCAAACCCGCAGCCACATGGGATGCCGGCATCACAGGCAGTGGCTTAACCCACTGCACCACAATGCCTGCCCCCAGCATCTGCATTTTAGCAAGGTTCCAAGTGATATGCACAAAGTGGAAGTTTGAGATGCAGACTCCGGACGCTTTCTGCACTGTCCAGCTTGCTCCGTGGCGCTGTACAGGGCACTTAGCCTCTCTTCACCTGGGAAATGGGTGATTGGAGAAATCCTGCCCGCCGTGCCTTCCAGCTTGGGTGAAACCACAGACTGCCACCACACTGCCACCTATCTGCAGGCTGCGGAATGGCAGCCTCTGCGCGGCCAGCCCTGTCAACCTGGCAAGGTGGTATGGTGGGTGCGCCGGCAAGCTGCTTCACCTTGTCTGGGAGTTCCGGGCCTCCCACACCAGAGCCCTGCAAAAGGACACGCAGGATTCTCCTCCCGCACTGTGATTTCGGAGAGCACTTCCACGAAAATTATCCGATGTCACGCACTTGGGACTCTGAGGAATGGACCAGGTCAATGTGATTATCCACGTTTAACAGCGTTTGGAAGACACACAGGGAAGCCTGGGTCACTGGCCGCCCCTCACACACACACACACACACACAAACGCTGATGGCTTGTGGACAGTGGACCAAGGGCCAGCTCCCCAGGGCCCCGAAACATCTGGGATCCCCGTTCCAGTTGTGGGAAGGAGGCAGCGGCAGTCTGTAGGCTGTCTGGGCTTTGGCAGGCGACAGCGCTGCCCGCTCAGCTGTTGGCCAGAGCAGAGGGTAGAAGAAGGCAGAGGCATGCTGGCTGCAGAGTGTGTGTGTGCGTGTCCACTCACACTGCCCCTCCGGGGGGCCGTCAGCTCGGCGTGGCTGTGACCCGGCCCCCCGCGACTTCCCTTGCAGAACGGCTACACCCCCGTGCACATGGCCGCCAAGCAGAACCAGATGGAGGTGGCCCGCAGCCTGCTGCAGTACGGGGGCTCAGCGAACGCCGAGTCGGTGCAGGGCGTGACCCCCCTGCACCTGGCCGCCCAGGAGGGCCACACGGACATGGTGGCCCTGCTCCTGTCCAAGCAAGCCAACGGCAACCTGGGCAACAAGGTAGGCTGGCCTGCGCCTTGCCTGGTGGCCCTGCTGTGCGTCCGCGTCGGCTGATGCCAAGCGAGATCTGCAGTTGCTGGTGGGTGTGTGTGTGATGGCAGAGCGCAGAGCAAGGAGCTGGGGGGCTGTCGCTTGACTCCCGGGCTCCCCGAGGAGTTGGGGGCGGTTCCTACAAATGGAGTTGGAGCTGAGGTGCACGATCCGCTGGTGTCCAGTTCCTGATTGGTCAGTGGCGCTCGTGCCTTCCTCTGATTGGGCAGCGATGCCGGGCAGTTCAGGGAAGTTTTATGGTGGCAGGGTGGGCTCCAGTTGGTTGGGGGGGGGGTTACATGTAAGTGGTGGCTACCCAGAATTCCCCTGCCTGGGCTGGAGTTCCCTTGAACAAACCCCTCTGGACAGCACTGGCCCTGCAGGGTGGTTTTTTTTTTTTTTTTTTTGACAGGCAGAGTGGACAGTGAGAGAGACAGAGAGAAAGGTCTTCCTTTGCCATTGGTTCACCCTCCAATGGCCGGCGCGCTGCAGCCGGTGCACCGCGCTGATCCAATGGCAGAAGCCAGGTGCTTCTTCTGGTCTCCCATGGGGTGCAGGGCCCAAGGACTTGGGCCATCCTCCACTGCACTCCCTGGCCACAGCAGAGAGCTGGCCTGGAAGAGGGGCAACTGGGACAGAATCTGGCGCCCTGACCGGGACTAGAACCCGGTGTGCTGGCGCAGCAAGGCGGAGGATTAGCCTACTGAGCCACGGCGCTGGCTTCCTGCAGGGTTTTATCCATGGGAGAAACAAAGGACTCAATGAGCCTGGATCTAGCCGTCCACTCCCACAACCCAGGGATTCCCTCTGGTGCAGGACAGACAAGGACACCCCGAGCTAAAGGGGACACAGAGGAAGCTGGATCCTGCTTTACCATTCCGGGCAGAGGCTGCAGAGTGCGGTCCAGCCCCCCAGTGCCCACCGTCTTTGCGGCCGACAACTGTGAACGCCTTTTTCTTTCCAGAGTGGACTCACGCCCCTCCATCTGGTGGCACAGGAAGGCCACGTACCGGTGGCAGACGTGCTGATCAAACACGGTGTCCTGGTCGACGCCACCACCCGGGTAAGGCAGGTGGCCCCGGGCTCCAACGCCCCACCTTGCATGCCTGGCTGGGCGTGGTCCGTCCCAGTGGTCACCTCCCTCCCCTGCAGAGCGTCCCTTGCAGGAAGCTTTGGGTCCCCCACAGGACCCCCGGGGGCACTTTCTGCTCTGCCGCCTCCTAGAGCTGGCAGGGGGAACTGCAAGACACCAGTCCTGATCGTGTCCCGTCCCAGTTGGGAATTTAAGGACCTTTGGCAGGACCGCTGAGGATCCCAGAGCCGTCCATTGCACGAGGTGCGGCCTGCGGGGCCTGTGTTAAGTCCATGCCTGGAGTCCGGCGCCAGCTCCCCAGGGGCACCCGGGGCCAAAGAGCTCCAGAGCCCTGGCTTGTCGGCCCCCAGAAGCTGTGTGAAAACACTCAGCAGGACGGGCTCCTGGGACGTTGGCTTCACGCAGGCAGATACACGCCTCGCCCACGCTGGAGCAGGTGGCGCAGGCCGCGGCTTCACTCACACAGCTCCCCTGGCCTCACACCTGGAGCCTCAGGCTGCTCCTGGGGTCAGCCGCCCGTCCCCATCTCGGGGCCCTTGTCCGCAGCGGGCCTGGCCGCTGTCTCTCCTGGGTTCCGGACCACGGCGCTCCTGGGTCCGCTCTGAGTGTGGCCGTGGTCTCGGGCCCCTCGGTGTTCCCTCTCTGCTCTACTGTGGATGTCCTCGTTCACCTGCAAGGCCTCCCGCTGACCCTGGTGCTGATGGCCCCAGTCACTCACACGCCCCTCAGCCTTGCGGCCTGAAGCCCCCGCCCCCACCCCCTCCGGGGCCAGGGTATCCAACTGTCACCTTGGAGAGCTGCTAGTGTCCCGCAGCTCACTCACGGGGGTGGCTCCCCTCCCCTGCCTTCCAGATGGGGTACACCCCTCTCCACGTGGCCAGTCACTACGGAAACATCAAGCTGGTGAAATTCCTGCTGCAGCACCAGGCAGATGTCAACGCCAAGACCAAGGTGGGCCTTGTAAGGCCGAGCTGCGGCTACAGCCATGGGCACCGCCGTGGCTCTTTTGGCCTTGGCCCGGGGGCAGGGGGGGGGAGACATGTGTGCTCCTGCGACCTGTGGTAGACCAGCAGGCCGCAGGGTCTTGGTGGCTCCCTCCGTAACCAAACGCCACACCGTGTTACAGCTGGGATACACCCCCTTGCACCAGGCGGCCCAGCAAGGACACACAGACATCGTGACTCTGTTGCTAAAGCACGGAGCTTCCCCCAACGAGGTCAGCTCGGTGAGTGCCGTCCGAGGCGTCCCTTGGGTGCCCCGGGGTAGGCGCTGTGGCGAGCTGCTGTTCCCCCCACCCCCCGGCTGCTGTGTGTTTCTGTCTCAGGCACGTGGAGCAGGTCTCGGTACGGTCATGCAGGGCTCGGGTGGACCTGGGTGGTGAAGGCGCAAGTGCAGGTTCAGGTTAGATGTCTGTATGGGGCTTCCTGAGAGCTGTGGACCCTGGATTGTAGGGGTGGCCGCGCCCACTGGGCCGTGTCTGCCAGGAGCCCGAGGGCACATCCTGCACACGGAAACATGAAAAAAGCCTCCGTGTCCACCAGAGTGGGAAACACGCCGCCGCCCGCCGCCTGGTGATCGGTGGTCACTGAGGGCCTGAGCGGAGCTTGCTCCATGTGTGGATTACAGCGGCTCTGGTGCTCCGTGGCCAGCACCCACAGCATGGGCACTGGAGCAGTGAGCCCCCTCACGCTCTTGGGATCACACTGGATGGCAGAGGTCTCCCTGGCCTGGCCAGGTGTCCCTGCCCCCTTGTTCCCGGGCCACACCCCAGGCTGCAGACTCAGCCTTTGACGGGCAGGTGCAGTCCCACCCCCACGTCCAGGCTCGGATGCACATCACGCTCTGGGCTCAAGGCAGGGCCCGAGCAGCGGCACCTGGGGCGGGCGCTCGTGGAAGGCGCACGGTCCCCTGACGCGTCACTGCCCTTCCTCCCAGAACGGAACCACTCCTCTGGCGATAGCCAAGCGCCTGGGCTATATCTCCGTGACAGACGTGCTGAAGGTGGTCACGGACGAGACAAGCGTGGTGGTACGTCCATGGCCCCTGCACCGCTCCACGCGTGCGGGGCTCCCCGGGGCGGAGGGACAGGGAAGGGCTGGGCCACTGGTGGTGGGGAGGAGAAGCAGGTGGGCTCTCCTTGCCCGCTCCTGTCCTCACAGGGGCCAGGCAGCTGCTGGGCGGGTGCAGCGGGCCCCTGCTCGGGGTTTGGGCTGACTTCTCTGCTTTCTCTCGGTGCAGCTGGTTGGCGACAAGCATCGGATGAGCTTCCCGGAGACGGTGGATGAGGCCCTGGACGTGTCTGAAGATGAAGGTGAAGTGTGGGCGGGACTTCCTGCTGTCCCCACCCCAGAGTCCTGCAGAGACTCTGCTTTGTGCAAACAGCTGTTGTCAAGTGAGACAGAGAGAGAGAGAGAGAGAGAGAGAGAGAGAGAGAGGTCTTCCATCTGCTGGCTCACTCCCCAGATGGCTGCAACAGCCAGAGCTGGGCTGATCCGAAGCCAGGAGCCAGGAGCTTCTTCTGGGTCTACACGTGGGTGCAGGGCCCAAGGACTTGGGCCATCTTCTGCTGCTTTCCCAGGCCATCAGCAGGGAGCGAGATGGGAAGTGGAGCGGCCGGGACTCAAACCTGTGCCCATGTGGGATGCCCGTGCAGGCTGCACCAGAGCACTGGCCCCCAGATGTGTTCCTGTAGTATCCCCAGAGGGGGAGTTTAAAATCACGTGCGGTTTCATAAACTGTGTATCACGCGTGTGGTTCAAATCGGAACACCAGCGAGCTGGGAGGAGCTGTTGTAAAATTCTGCCAGGTGCCGTCCGCATGCTTTGACCAGATCTTCGGCGGGCCACTGAGAGCCTGTGAGACCGAATGCCTTTTCATCAGTGGCTGTTCCGACCCCTCCTCGGGGGCCACTATATGCCTTCGCTGTAGTTCCCACTTCTACCAGCTGTCCCGTGCTCCGGGGTTCCTCCTGCCCCCAGCTTATTTCCTTATTTCCCCGCTTCAGTTTGTGGGAGCCCTCATGGTGTGGGGGGGAGGGGTGGCTGGACCGATGAGCCCCCGCCAGCCCCGCCCCCGGGTGGGTAACTTTGCCACCTCCGCCTTCCTCGCGTCCCCCTGTGATAGTGGATGAGGTCCCTCTGGGTTGGACCAACGTCCGTGCTGTCCTTGCTTCAACTTGGCTCTTCTTTGCTTTCCAGGCACTGCTCACATATCTATAATGGGTATGAAATGTTTTCTGTTCCCTGTGAGCTTCCTCACCAGAGCACATTTCACCCCAAGCCCTCACTAACCCACCCCTGCTTCCCATCCCCCTCCAGCCGGAAGTCCCTCCCGGGAGCGCCACGCCCTGTCCATGTCTGTCTGTGCCCATGCCGCCGTGTCTGTGACCATAACTGCATGAGCTGTCCTAGTTCCATTGTCAGCTCCAGATCACAAAGCCGGGCTCTGGCTGCCCTGTGGCAGCAGGTGATAGGCTCAAGGTCAAGGGCTCCAGGTCATCCCAGGAGAGGGACACAGAGAGGCAGCTGACTGCACCTGTGGCTTGAACCGCTTTGTAATGAGCTTTGGAAATAATCAGGTTTCGGCTACCATGGTTGCCGAAAACAGAAACACAGCTCGTGGCAGCCCTTCCAAAGGAGAGGGTTCGAACGCAGTGTGGCTCACTCACCCCTGCAGAGAGCAGGGGTGGCGCTGGAAAGGGGAGCCATGGCCCCTTCTGTGGTGTTGCCCCCACCCGAAAGGGCTGGCTGGCAGTGGAATTGTGAAGTGGGGAAAGCGCTGGCTGGCTCCTACAAAGCCTAAGGTGTTGGAGGCTGGGCTGCCCCTGGGAGGAAGGGGACTGGTGGTCCCCGTGGAGCCCCAGGCACTTCCTCCCCTCCTCAGGAGCAAGCGCTGTGCGAGGCGGAGCAGGAAGAGCGCTTCGCGGGAAGCGACAGGAACGCTGCCTCCGTCCTGGTGGCTCACGTGACCTTGGGTCTTTCCAGGGGAAGAACTTGGGGGCTCCAAGGCCGAGAAGCCGGATGCCAGGGATTTGGATGAGGACAAAGAGCTGCTGGACTTCGTGCCAAAGCTCGACCAAGTGTAAGAGGGGTCACCCCGGGGTGCGGGTGTGGGCCAGAGGGCCGAGGGGCCGCCTTGGAATCCAGAGTAGAGAGCCAGGGTGGTGGGCACCAGTCCCAAGCAGGCCAGGCCACGCCGACAGAGACGGGGGCTGAGTCACACGTTTCCAGGGCCAGAGTGGGGGCTCCATCCACCCACGAGGGTTGTCAAGTTACAGAGGAGAGGCAGCAAGAGTGGGGAGCACGTGGTAAGGGGAGCAGGTCCCTCTGCCAGGCTGCGGGGATGCGGGCGCCGCAGAGGCAGGACAGAAGGGCTTCGAGGGCAGCTCCGGGCATGCGCGCAGGGGGCCAGGCGCCGCGAGGGCTGTGATGGGGCACACACACAGGGGGCCAGGCGCCGCGAGGGCCCTGACGGGGCACGTGCACAGGGGGCCAGGCGCCGCAAGGGCCGTGATGGGGCGTGCGCAGGGGGCCAGGCACAGCGAGGGCCGTGACGGGGCACGCGCACAGGGGGCCAGGCGCCGCGAGGGCCGTGATGGGGCGTGCGCAGGGGGCCAGGCGCAGCGAGGGCCGTGACAGGGCTCACGAGGAGCCGCCTCCTTTGCTGGCAGGGTGGAGTCTCCAGCCATCCCCAGGATCCCGTGTGTCACGCCGGAGACCGTGGTGATCCGTTCGGAGGAGCCAGAGCAGGTAAGAAGGAAGGCCCCAGCCTCCGATGTCCTCCTGGCCGGGGCGAGGAAGCCCCAGGACGAGGGCAGCTGTGAGCCAAGCCGCAGGGGCTGGGGAAGGGCTCCTGGCGTGCGCAGAGCGCCTTGGCCACTGTGCTGGCCGTCCCTGGTCAACCACGTGGGTCTGGGGGCACGTGTGGTATGCCAGACGCCCAGCGCTGAGCATGGCTGAGGACTGGCGCCATAGCCCACGGCACGCACACTGCTGGACCCAAGGCAGCCGTAGGGGAGCTGCACAGGGCCCTGCGCCCCTTTGCATTCCCGTCTGCAGAAGTTTCCGCAAAGGCACGTAGGAAGCTGGAAACCCAACACACAGGGAGCGTGCCTGCCATGGAGCCCTGTGCACCCCAGCACCCTCCTTTGGCGCCTCCTGAATTTGTGGGCCCCCCACCCAGAAAAATAGGACGGGGTGATTTAGAATAATTTAACACCTCCTAAGCACTTTTTTTCCAGGGCTAGGGAATTTTCTAGAAAAGCAGTGCAGGGCTTGAAGCTGAGCACGGCCACCCAAGGCTCTGTTTCCTTGCAAGGCCGGTGGCTGCCCTCTGGCCCCAAAGGGTGTGTGTGCAAAGCAGCGCCATAGCCAGGGCTGGCCAGCTGTGCCACTGTCCCTCGTCCTACTCACTGGGGTCTCTCTGTGACCATGTGATGCTGGGGTGTCTGAGAGAAGGTGGTGTGGCTGCATTCCTGCTGGGGCGTACTCCCGGGATACGAGAGAGAACCAGCCCTGACAGCTGCGTCTGGCTGTTCTTCAACCAACTTATCCTCCCTCTCTTTTTTAAAGCTTTATTTGAAAGAGTGAGAGAGAAAGAGAGAGAGATCTTCCATTTGCTGGTCCTCTCACCAAATAGCCGCAACAGCCAGAGCTGGGCCAGGCCAAAACCGAAACCTGGAACTCCATCCGGGTCTCCCATGAGGCTGCAGGGGCCCAAGCACTTGGGCCATCCTCTGCTGCTTTCCCCGGCACATTAGCAGGAAGCTGGATCAGAAGTAGAGCAGCTGGCACTCGAACCAGCGCCCAACATGGGATACCAGCGTTGTAGGCAGCAGCTTCACCTGCTGCACCACAGCACCGGGCTTGGCAGGTGCTTCCTGGACTCCTGCCGGGGGCCTGCAGTGGCAGGATCAGCTGGCAAGAGTAGGCTCGGACCCGGGAGGCCAGTTAGCACAGAGCGCAGAAAGGGCCAGGAGCCGGGTGCACCCTTGCCTGGTGTGAGTTTTCCCGGAGTGACTTGGACCAGCAGAGGCTTCTTGGAGGTGGCGAGACCTGAGAAAGGGGTAGGATTGGACCAACAAAGGAGAGAAGCAAGGCCTTGTGGGCCCCGGGAAAGCCTGAGAGAGAGCAGAACCGAGAGTCGATGCAGAGGCTCTGAGGTCAGACTGCTGCCTGAGGCAGCCTGTGTCTGTGTGGCTGTGATGCGCCATGGGAAGCCCTGAAGGGCACTCCGCTCCCGTGTCCCAGATGCCTCCGGGGCAGAGAGGCTCCAGGTGATGGAGCAAGGGACCAGGGCCAGCCTGCCCCACATGGAGCGCTCCCACTGGGCAGAGCCGGGGCGTATGCAAGGGCGTCGGTCCCTGAGCCAGGCTGCAGAGTGGGCTCCTGCCCTGTCCCTTCCTAAACTCCAGCCAGGACTTCCTCCTGGACTCCAGGAACGCCGTGGGCTGGGGTCTGGCGGGCCAGGGTGTGGTGGCCCCCTCCCACAGGCCTTTCCTCCTCTCGCCAGGCCTCTAAAGAGTATGATGAAGACTCACTTATCCCCAGCAGCCCAGCCACAGAGACCTCAGACAACATCAGCCCCGTGGCCAGTCCGGTCCACACAGGGTGAGTGGCTCAGGACCCCAGGGCGCCCCCCGCTCTCCCCGTCCCTGGGAGGGTGTGTTCGCCCAACACGCACCTGCTCGCTTGCTCGCACCCCAAGGTTCCTGGTGAGCTTCATGGTGGACGCCCGGGGGGGCTCCATGAGGGGCAGTCGCCACAACGGACTCAGAGTGGTCATCCCACCGCGCACGTGCGCCGCCCCCACGCGCATCACCTGCCGCCTGGTGAAGCCCCAGAAGCTGAGCACGCCGCCGCCGCTGGCCGAGGAGGAGGGCCTGGCCAGCAGGATCATCGCCCTGGGGCCCACGGGGGCCCAGTTCTTGAGGTGAGGAGCCTCCAGGGTCCCCACCCCGCTCCTCCCATCTCACAGTCGCCGCCCCCAAAAATGATGTGGACAGGTGCCCGGGTCTTGGCTGACGCAGACCAGGGTGTCCCCTTCGGGCACTGGAGGGTGGGGGAGACATGGGACAGCCCTGGCCTCCCACAGCCGTGCCCCATCCGTGTTCTCACCGCCGTGGGCGGAGCAGCTTGCAGTGGGCGGTGGGCGGCATCCTTAGTTCTCTCTCAAGGGGGCCCAGAGGGCGCACTTGATGGCCGCAGACGGGGCCCCTGGGCGCAGACGGGTAGGAGTGTACGTCTGGGGGTGTCAGGTGGGGTCTCAGTGTTAGCCATGGGGGCCGCCCACAGGAGAGCCCCCTGTGAAATGAGACTGGGCCAGGGGGAGCCGTGGAGCCCAGGGCAGGCCTGTCCACTGTCGTACCTGCTGCCCACAGGGGCCTGCGCCGGGGCCGTGGGACCCCCTTCTCCCTACGGCAGGGCCCACCCTGCTGCCATCCCCTCTAGTGCCCCCTGAGCTGGGGCGCAGCGAGCACCTTGTCCACCGCCCGCTGTCCCCGCCGCAGCCCTGTGATCGTGGAGATCCCCCACTTCGCCTCGCACGGCCGCGGGGACCGGGAGCTCGTGGTTCTGAGGAGCGAGAACGGCTCGGTGTGGAAGGAACACAAGAGCCGCTACGGAGAGAGCTACCTGGACCAGATCCTCAATGGCATGGACGAAGGTACCAGGGCCCAGGATCCATCCTGGAGCAGCGGCGGGGGCCCCTCCTGCCGGCAGGTGCCACTGAGGCTGCGTGTGGGGGTGGGGGTCGGGCTGTAAGAGCCCCTTGAGTTTGGGGAGGCGCAGATCCCAGGACCTGTGCGTGGTGCTCGGTCCCTGCCCGCAGCCCGCGTCTCCCGGCTGGGCCCTGTGCTCCTCCGGCACCTGGGAGGAGACGGCGGCCCGGCTGTGCCCGGCTGTGCCCGGCGTGACGAGCGCATGTGGCCGCAGAGCTGGGCAGCCTGGAGGAGCTGGAGAAGAGGCGCGTGTGCCGCATCATCACCACCGACTTCCCGCTGTACTTCGTGATCATGTCGCGGCTGTGCCAGGACTACGACACCATCGGGCCCGAGGGCGGGGCCCTCCAGAGCAGGCTGGTGCCCCTGGTGCAGGCCACCTTCCCGGAGAACGCCGTCACCAAGAGGGTGAAGCTGGCTCTGCAGGTGACGCCCCCCGGCCGGGGGGGACAAAACAAGTGGGGGCAGGGACCCCCCAGGAGACCCCCACCCATCCCTACCGTCACCATGAGGGTGAAGCTGGCTCTGTAGGTGACGGCCCCGGCAGGGGGTGGGGACGGAGCGGGCGGGGGCAAGGACACTCCCAGGAGACCCCCACCCGTCCCTACCGTCACCAAGAGGGTGAAGCTGGCTGTGCAGGTGACGCCCCCTGGCCCGGGGCAGGGCCAGAACAGGCGAGAGCTGGGCCCCCCTCCCCAGGGACCTTCCTGCCACCTCCCTGCACTGCCGCACAGGGCCCAGGTTGCAGCTTCAAGCTCAGAAGTTGGATGGGGAGCAAGACCCTGAGTCCTGGAACCACACTGATGTCCTGGAACGAGATGCACCAGGACAAGGGGCGAGAAGGGGCTGGAAGGGGCTGGGCCGCGACCGAGCGCGTGGTCAGCAGTGGCGGCGCCACCTGTGCTGAGTAGGGCTGAGCCTCCTGCCTCTGGCTCCTCGCAGGCCCAGCCCGTCCCCGATGAACTGGTCACCAAACTCCTGGGCAACCAGGCCACCTTCAGCCCCATTGTCACCGTGGAGCCCAGGCGCCGGAAGTTCCACCGCCCCATCGGGCTGCGGATCCCACTGCCGCCTTCCTGGACCGACAACCCCAGGGACAGCGGAGAGGGAGACACCACCAGCCTGCGCCTGCTCTGCAGCGTCATCGGTGAGTGGCGCCCCCTGGCGTCCGTCTTATTTTCCCCCGGCAGCAGCGGTGGCTCCTTCCGGAACCTGCAAGAGGCAGGGAGACCTGAACTTTGTTGGCTTCCCCGGGTGAGCGTGCTCTTCCGAGACAGGGAGGACCCCAGAGAGCCCCCACCAGGAGGAGGAGCAGAGAACTGGCCCTCGTGGTCAGCGCTGCAGGCCAGACACGCCGCCTCTGCCCTGCACGCCAGGGCCTGCGTCGGGGTGGGCTCTGCACTCCAGCCCCCAGCCCCTCCCCAGCCCGTTTCCGCTGCTGTTGCAGGAGGAACGGACCAAGCCCAGTGGGAAGATATAACAGGAACAACCAAACTCGTGTATGCCAACGAGTGTGCCAACTTCACCACCAACGTGTCGGCCAGGTGGGCCTCGGCCCCGCGCCTGCAGGGTGCCATCCTCCTGCCCCCCTCACCCATGCTGCCCAGTGGGAGCTGGGTGGGAGGGTGGGGGGTGGAGGGTGTCCTGTGTCTGCACCTGCGCCAAGAGCGCCAGGCGGTGGCGCCCAGACTGGTCCCACACATCCTGACCTCCGTCCACAGGTTCTGGCTGTCGGACTGTCCTCGGACGGCCGAGGCCGTGAACTTCGCCACGATGCTGTACAAGGAGCTCACCGCTGTGCCCTACATGGCCAAGTTCGTCATCTTCGCCAAGATGAACGAGCCGCGGGAAGGGCGGCTGCGCTGCTACTGCATGACGGACGACAAGGTGGACAAGACCCTCGAGCAGCACGAGAACTTCGTGGAGGTGGCCCGGAGCAGGGACATAGAGGTACAGCCCGCACGGCCCCGTGTGCCCTCCCGGGGCAGTGGCTCCGGAAAGCCGAGGCCCAGGGCAGCCAGGAAATCCCTCGTCTTGGGACTGATTGATTGGCTTGAAAGGCGGAGTGACAGAGAGGGCGAGACAGAGAGAATCTTCCATTTGCTGGTTCACTCCCCAGATGGCCAGAATGTCCAGGGCTGGGCCAGGCTGAAGCCAGGAGCCTGGAGCTCCATCCGGGTCTCCCACGTGGGTGCAGGGGCCCAAGCACTTGGGCCATCTTCAGCTTCCTCCCCAGGTGCGTTAGCAGGGAGCTGGATCGGAAGTGGAGGAGCTGGGAACCAGACAGGTGCTCTCCTATCAGATGCCAGCACTGAAGGGGGTGGCCCAATGCACTGTGCCACAGCTCTAGCCCTGGGAGTGGCTGTGTATTGCGTTCCTTGAGGCCAGGCGTGACCGAGGGTGCTGCACCTAGCTGTGTGTGTGTGTGTGTGAGTGAATCCCCAGTGTATGTGCATGCAAGCAAACAGGGCCTGATGGGTGATTCAGGGACTAGCCCAAGGCTGCACAGCTGAGCGAATGGCGGAGACAAGGTTAGCATCAGGAGTCGGACTCCGGAGGCTGCGCTGTGGGTCCCAGGTGGGGAAGCCGGGGGGAGGGCTGGATGAGCTACCTGAGCAGCCAGGGGATGTGGCCCTGTGCTGACACAGTCACAGAGGCTGGCGGCAGGGTCTGTGCAGGGTCTTCCCGGGGATGGCTGAGGCCCAGGAGAAGAGAGAGGGGCTGGACCCTCTGCAGGTCCGGTCTGGTCCTGCCCCAGGCACTGAGGGGGAAGTAAGTACAAGGGTGGCTCAGCAAGTTGGCAGCGAATAGAATTTAAAGATAAGTCTGGGGCAGGCATTTTGGCCTCGTGGTTAAGGTGCCCAGGTTTGAATCCCAGCACCAGCTCCAGCTCCCCACTCCAGCTTCCTGCTAGTGCAGAGCCTGGGATGGCTCAAGTAACTGTTCCTGCCATCCACGTGGGAGATCTGGGGTGAGTTCCCGGCTGCCAGCTTCGGCCCCCCGGACGTTGCAAGCATTTGGGAAGTGAACTGGCAGATGGGAGTGCGTGCTTTCTCTCTTTCAAATAAATAAATAAACAAATATTTTTAGAGAGAAGTTTATTTTCATACACAAAAAATTCAAGTTTATTTTGGTACGAAAAATGTTTAACACTATGCATAATTTTTTTCATAATACGCATGTTCCATGAATTTTTTTGAGAGGCAGAGAGACGGATAGTGGGGGTGGGTGTGAGAGAGAGAGAGAGAGAGAGAGAGAGAGAGAGATCTTCCATCTGCAGGTTCACTTCCTAAGTGGCTTCAACAGCTGGGGCTGGGCCAGGCTGAATCAGGAGCCAGGAGCTTCACCTGGGTCTCCCACGTGGGTGCCGGGG